GTTCTTCGGAGACTTCAAACAAGCAGCCACGTAGGCAATACATATCCGAGAATTAAAGATGTGTTGTATATTTCGAAAACGAGACTAAACTAGGAGAAGAGCTAGGCTTTTGAATCGTCGTTTCGTAGTTTTTTTTCTGTTGTCATTCGTATTGAAACGGACGGGGGTGGAGACTAAACTCACAATCCTTGGGCACCCGGGTTCTGCAGCGCGGGCTTTCGTGCCGATCTTTTTGTTTTGTTATTGACCCCTTGGAAAGCAATACAATTGCCGTTGGTTAAAAAAAAAAAAAAATTGGGTTCTGTGTGTGTTTATACAGCCTAGAACTTCGTCCGCCTCAATGGGCGACTTGTCTTTCAGCTGTAGATGAGCAATTTCGCCATGTGCAGTACAACCGCTAGCCTGGGGTCTTTAACGTGCACCTCGCAGTAGTGATACGCGCTGCAGAACCCAGGATCATTGGGTTCTGCAGCGGGAGCTTTCACTCCCTGTACTCTGTGCTGGTGTGCGCTAGCCACGTTACTATAAAAACACACACACACCGTGGGTAGCGCCATTTTGAGAGCGAGAGTGAAGGGAGAAAACGGCTATCGGCGCTTTCTCCCTTGCTGGTGCGTTAGAAAGAATGAAAGTCCCGATTGGAGACGCTTCGCCGGTGTCGGGTGTTCGCAGTGCCCGAACTTCGTTCGCGCTTTCTTCTCTATTTTAATGCTCACACTTAATTAGAACCACGGCCTTCAATGGCGACAGTCCACCGGTCATCGAGACACCATTGCTCGGTTATAAGGGGCACGAATTACGACAGAAAGCGTCGAATACTCTCCGAGGACCCATATAACTTGCACGGAATCCGGCAAGGCGAGTTCGGCTGCAATCTTTCCACATGACCCCGATCTCCGGTGGCAGTGGGTCAGTGGCGGATCCAAAGGGGGGGGGGAACGGTGGGGGCGATCGCCCCCCCCCCCCCCCCCCCCCCCCCAACGCCTCGCCAGGCAACCCCCCCTCCCCCCCGGGGTTCTTCGTCAGCTCGAAGAAAAAACGTAAGCAATCGACGCAGGATGCAGCTGGTGCAACCAGGTGACCAATTGCTTTTCTTCTCAACTGACAGAGGAAGCAAATGCTCTGGGTACAGTGTAGTCTGGGTCTGAGCTTCTCCTGAAGACGCTCCGGACTTCCCCACGACCTTGGCTTAAACATAAGCCCGCTTTCGTCCTCGCCTCCATCCCTCACTGAGGATCAGCGCCGCAGCGCGGAATTCAGAAAGAAGCCGACGACCGCCAGAAAAGGGAGATGTTTCCTCTAATAGGCATCATACTGCCTGCGGTACGACTTCTCATGACGGGAAGCTAATAAAAGAAAGATAAACGGTACGAGCACTCTAAAGGCTGGAGGCTGCTTACACGGGGTCCTCAAGCCGACGCCGTAGGCATTTATTTGTATGCAATGCCGTTTCAACTTAGGGTGGCGAAACATATTTTAGGGAAGGCGCCCACTACTCCTTGTCTCCCCTTGGCGCCGTCTTTACTTTTCGAGTTAAACGCGGCTTCTGTGGATTGACGGCAGAGCTTTCGCGCGGCTTTGCAGGAGCGAATATGTGTGTGTCGAACGGAACAGAGGCGGGGCTTGCTGGTTTCCAGCTGCGGCTTCGAATTCCCTACCTAGGGACTTGGGGAAAAAGAGCCCTTTCAAAGATGCGACTATACATAAATTAAATAGACAGTGCCTGTGCCCGTTCGAGTGAACACCGACTCCCAAACATCCATGCTGCAGTCGTGATCGGCCTTTAGTCCAGTTGAGATTCGCCGACCGGACAACCGTTCTGCCCCATCATATCTCTGCACCTGTCCTCTTGACCCTGACGATTGAGCTAACTACCCAGAAACAAGTGTTCCTTTCATACAGAAAATATCCAGACGAAGTGCAATTGAATATAATTCGGAAGGATCCATTGCTGGTTTAAGGTCTTGTCTAAGTTTAAAAGTTATAGTTGCCGAACTGCAACTTGCTTTTAAAAATATTCAACAATTATTCGCTTTCGTTCTCTCGAGTTGCATCCAGAACACGTGAAAACACGAGTTTGGGTTGGCAATGCCGCATGTGCTGCGCTCTGGACATTCCAAATATACGGCGAGCTACCGACGAACTTGCCTGGCAGCGTTCGTTTCGCTCGCTGCGTCGACAGTGTTTTGACGCCGCGAGCAGCGTCGAAGCCGCCGGGCCATTTTTGTCGCTTGTTTGCAACGTATTCGGTCCGCTGATTTAAGCCGCTCTTCCCGTTGCCGCAGCAGTTGAGCACTAGCTCCAAACAGAATGTCTGCCAAGGCAATGTCTTTAAGCTGCCCTAAATCGACTGCTCACGTAGTGTCGGTCTGAAACCCAAGTTTCAGAAAGGATAGTGCCACCACAATTTTCGAGATACTTACCTCTAGCGTGGTCACCCGAAAGGTTTTAATTCAAAGAGTTCATCCCCGACAGATCAACCGATACAAAAGCTCTCAAGATTTATATTATGTTATCAGAGTTTAGTAGAACCGATAACCCCACAAAAAATATAAACACTCCCCCCCCCCCCCCCCCCCCCCCCCCCCGCCGTTTTACTCCAAGGAACCGCCCCCCCTCAAATGGAGGTCTGGATCCACCCCTGCAGTGGGTTGCGTCCGTAAACAAAAAAGATTTTTCTTTCCCCAACGCCACCCTAGGTTTAGTAGACCTTGTTTCCCCCTCCGCTAAGCCCCTCCGCTACCCGGAGCTCTACAGCTAAGGCCACCGGCGCGCAGGCGCCGTGGGGGTTTCTTCGTAGCGGAGGGCTAGCGAAGGGAGAAACACGGTCTACTAAAACTCCCTATTTTGTGAATGGAGCGCGCACCGGGGGATCGGTGGCCGAGTGGTCTAGAGCACACCAGCTCGGAGCACGTGGAGCGAAAGCTCGAGCTGCAGAACCCAGGGATCCTGGGTTCGAGCCCCACCCCTGCCCGTTTCGATCTGGATGAGCATCGTACCGGCGTGCGGTCGTGTATCACTACTGCGTGATGCACGTTAAAGACCCCAGGCTAGCGGTTGTGCCGCACTGGCTAAATTGCTCATCTACAGCTGGGAGACTCGTCGCCCCTGTGAGGCAGACCAAGTTCTAGGCTGTATAAACACACACACAACCCAATTTGTTTTTTTTTTTTGGAGCGCGCACCGAACGCTGTACCGCCGATGAACATGGGGTACGCTCGCAAGGTGTTTCAGCTTCCAACTTTTGTAACTGTATTTATCTTAATATTTATATTTTGCACTGGTGACATTGACTCGATTTCATCATCTACAACACTCATTTGAAGGCTCATTTCCGCCGCCACGTGTGGCTGGAAATTGGCGAAAAGTTAGTTCGATCGGTTGTACTGAATCGCGATCTCTTGCGCGATACCAGAGACCCGTGAACCTATGTTCACTGTCACAACGCGACTAGACTCTCCTTGTTTTCAAAATTTGCACTTAATCTAGCTGCAAAGAAACTCGCTCCGGCAATAGGCCCATCTCGACTTTGCTGTTTTCAGTTCCCGACAGAAGACACACTCTTCGACACGGGGTCCTCAAATACAACGTTTATAAACACCTTCAAGCCGCAGCGAAAACGTAAGCCTTCATATTTTGATCAACTTCTACCTCTGTTTGTTGCGGCGAGAGACGGGGAGCACATTTCGCGCTGCTCCTTAGTTCCGTAGACCGACGATAATGGTGTTGATAATTCACGGATATTTGTATTGTTTGATTTAAAGCCCCTCGATATGTTTTAGTTTGATTTAGAGTGCCTCATACACACGCGCGCTTTTGCTTGAGTGGTGACATCTCAGCCATTTTTCCGCCCAATCGTTTTTTTATGCATTTTGAAGTGCGCGCCATCCGGTGTCACTCAGCTCGAGCGCGTAGCTTTGGCTGATGCATAGACGCCATCTTACCGCCCAAGTCACGCACCGAGTGCGCGAGAGCGTCACGCGCTGGCACATTCCGGACAACAATGGATGTCTTCACCCTGAGACAGACAGACATCTAGGCACCCTAGTTTGATTTAAAGCCCCTTAATAAAGGTGTTTTTTTACAAGTACCGCCAACCATTGTTGTGGAAACGCGCGAGACACGTGCCACGAGCGGGTGCTCCGCCGCCATTTGCTTCCTAGGGCCGCTCATTTCAGTGCTGCGCCGCCATTCGCTTCCAAGGGCCGCTCGAGACGTGGGTCTCGTGCACTCGCGCATTTGGCGCTACTTGCACGACAAACGCAAACATATCGAGGGGCTTTAGTTTGATTTGGTTGCGAGCGCCACCAAGCGCCCTGCAGCAACAGTCTCTACCGGCGAATGCAGTGGCCTGAGGAGCGCAGCCAGCGTGCGAAAAATCACGGAGGCCATGACTCCGGGAAAAGAGTTTTCAAACTGACCCCCTCTGTTGGCACTAGCCCACTGGGCCACCGATCCCCGTCGGTGGTATTCAAGGACAAAGAAACAGTTGCCAATCGCTCTTGTGGTGCGCAAGGGCACGAGACTGCGCGAGTGGATAGAGCAAGGCAAGTTTTCTTCTGGGGGCAACTTTCGGTGGCAGTGAAGCCAAAACTATGGGTGCCCGTGCGCTCACACATTTTGAGCGCCGATGAAAGTTTTGCACGCGTACTCGTCACTTCTTAAATGCCACAGAGTGTTGCAACGTTGGCTGAAAATGAAGACCCTCTGCATCAGATGTTTTTTTCAGACGAGCGTTAGAAAAGAAGAACGCATACTTGAAACACGGAAAATGGTAGTGCTCGTTTAATGCATCTTTGAACAAAACCAAGGCGCTTGCCTAAAACACACAACAAGAAACAGTGGTAACGTCTCTAATAACTAACAAAATCTCCAAGACGTTGGTCGATGGTAGTCGTTAGAGTAGTACGGGTTCTCAAGATATACGACTAATCTCTCGAGGTAAACTACAACTTATACCAGTCAACGTTTGACCTGTCGGCGTTCAATGGTTCCCAGTGTCAGATGCAATAGTAAGCACCCGGTGAAGGTTGCGGGCTGGCAGAGCTCGACTTCGTACCGGACGAAAAGACCGAGCAGTCATCCTCCGACGTCTCACTGTCGAGCGCCAAGCTCTGCAGCTCTTTCATTTGACTCAAGCCAGTGGACAAAGCGGCGGCTGTATGTTGTGGTCCGTCTGCAGTCACGCTGACGCTATTTTTCGCAGTGCTGTTTTCGTCGTCGGTCATGAGAATGTAGTACAAGTCATCACTCAGTGACTCCCCAATATTGTTGATAAGAGAGCCGAGCATAAAGGAGTCTTCTAGCGGTGGGGTGCTGTTGCCTTCGTCTTCGCGACCTTTTTGTAGGAGCACGACCTTGGGCGACGTGCTGGGATCCAGAAGTGCAACCATGTCGCCGCATGCGCTGGACGACGGCGACGGGCTTGAACCGGAGCTGATCGTTGTAGCAACACTGCTGCTGCCGCTGCTGGTAGCCTGCTGGGAGACATCAGCAGTCATGTGAAGCCCTGGCGCGCAGTCCATTGGCCATCCGGCTACATGGGAACTTATTGAGGGCGTCGTAACTCGACCCATTCCGCGTAAGTTGTTGATCGCAGCATTAGCATTGTCGGTCTTTGGGTAGGCGTACTCGTGTTCTTCATCCGAGCTCGTCGTGTCGCTGCTAGAGTCGTGAGAGCACCATGTCGTGCCGTTCCAGTACGTGCCGCTATAGTTGTCAGGCATCATTCGCGACGGTCCGGCTTCGGCCGAGCTGGATGGTGTCGAAGGGGTGGACTGAAAGGAGGGGTGGCGTTGCATGCGAGACAGAGCTTCGCGCTGCTTCTCCAGGGCGCGCCGAAGGGCCCTCTGTCTGTGGCGGGATGTCAGGTAGCGGCCCTGACAGTGCATCATTCGGGCCCTCTCGAGAAGCGACCTGCTGGGGTTCGGCGCAGAGGCCGAGGAACCGGGGCCGCCCTTGCGGTGCATAATCCTGGCCCTGAGTGCTCCGGTCTTGCGAGCTACTCCTGACAACAAGTCAGGACGCCCTCTTACAAAAGAGTCGTTGCGGAACACATGGACGTCGGCGTGCTTGGAACTAGCCATCGGAATCTTATAGTGGGGTCCTACCTTGTAATACGGACTTACTTTGCGGAAACCGTAAAGGTTCAGCTGTCGGATGAAACTTGTAATGTTGTTGGTCTTGAAGATGTCCAGGCGATTGTCTAGGTAGTCTGACTGGAACTTAGGGTAGTCGATGACCACGGCAGTGCCGTCGCTCGACCAGGCAATGGCCCCAGACCGGCACTCGTTGACGATCCTCCACAGTTTTTTAGGGAAACGGAGGGTAAGTAGAGGCTGGTCTTTGGGACTCGACGATAAATGCAGATTCCTGTCTGCTTCCGAGGGATACATGGGACTGGAAGTCGGGGAGCGCCAGGCAATAGGGTGGCTGGGCCGCTGAGTGCCCTGCACCCTATACGCGGCACTTCGTCTTTTTCTTTATCTAGCACCTGTTCTTTATAAGTATGGCATGGCCATTAAAAAGAACGTTTTACGCAACGCTGGTTCTACGTGACGCCTCATGAGTGCTAATATTATAGCTAGTCGCAAAATAGCACTCGAATCGGAAATCTATCAACGGGTCTTTATTTAGAAAAACGAAAGCATGAAAAAGCCGGTGGACATAAAGTGATTTCGGGGGCCTTAAAATTGACTTACATTAGCAACCACTGATCTTTATGCCTTCGGATTGAATTGGATTGGATTTTGTGACATAGAGATCAGTGTTGGCAACACTCTAGCTGTCATCGTGGCGATCTTGCTGCATAATGTGTACTTGCTGCCACATAGGAGGATTGGTGCCACCGGCTCGGTGCACGTGCACGGAGCGGAAGCTCGCGCTGCAGACCCTAGGGATCCTGCTGGGTTCAATCCCCACCCCTACCCTCTTCGATCTGGGTGAGCATCGTACCGGCGTGCGGTCGTGTATCACTACTGCGTGATGCACGTTAAAGACCCCAGGCTAGCGGTTGTACCGCACTGGATAAATTGCTCATCTACAGCGAGTGACTCGTCGCAACATTGAAATGGCTGACCAACTACGCGCTGTATAAGTAGATATCCACACAACCCCAATTATTATTTTGCTGCAACGTACATTTTGTGCCGCCGAATTTGTTTTTCTCAACAAGAACGGGCAGGAACTAACCTAATGAGATGACGTGATGGGCAAGCCACTCTATTGGCGACTCCGTCGAAATCGACGCCGCGAATTGGCAACGCCGAGAAGCTCAAGAACAATGAACTAGAATATAGGGGCTCCTATTCTGGTTCACTGTAGCTCAGGAGAGGAGGTCGTGTCGACTCTGTCGTCTGCTATCGCTGCTTAGTTCTCATAGGCAGCATAGAAACAAACATCGTTTTCAGTACTTCTTTTTATGCTTCCGCCGTGTCATTTCTACGCCCTGACTAGAACAGGGGTGGCCAAGCTGCGGCTCTTCGCGGATTAAAGTGCGGCTCGCGGTTCCTTCCACGCCCCTCCCCCCCTCCTCCCACCCACCTCCCTCCCGGTCACACGAGTACTTCCCCAAAAAGAGAAACGGAACGCGTTTTAAATCGAAAGACAGGTTGCGCTCTGGTAGTCTTGTGCTACTGCCACCTTACGTACATTTGGACTGCTTTTGACTCGGATAGAATGAAAGTAGTTCGAGTTTCGTTTATTGCTCTGAACAAAAGTTGTTTAGAGCAATAAAGCTGCATTTCCACTCTGCGAATCGGGATGACCAGCGAAGCTGTTTAGCACACGACACAGACGTGACAGATTTCTGAACAAAGGTACGAACACATTTATTGTCTTGGTCGGTGGTCATCGTGACAAACGCTACGCAGACACATGTCGAGGACTATCGCCGCCCCGAGGAGCCGGAGGAAACTAGACATGCGCGACGGGACCGCCACCTGGCGGAAGGAAAGGAAACTAGGCACGCAAGCGGCTTGGAACGGCGACAAAGAGAGGGCCGGTGCGCTTCCCTCCCCCTCCTACTTTCCTCCTCTTCTCCTGCCGCTGAATTTGTTCATTGGTGACGTGACACAAAGTCGTGACGTCATTTTCCCCGCTAAATTTAGCGGTTAAACTGAATTGGTGTCGAGGTCATGTGACGTCAATTTTCCCGCTAAATTTAGTTGGGAAATTGACGTCACGTGACACAAAGTCGTGACGTCATTTTTTTCGCTAAATTTTGCGGGGAAACTGAATTGGTGTTGAGGTCACGTGACGTCAATTGCTCCGCTAAATTTAGCGAGGAACTTTCCCCGCCAAATTTATGGTTATACTTCGTTTCAGCTTCCGTCCGAGCGCAGCCAAATGCTGAGGGACGGTTCGCAACTTCGGGAAGGGCATTCCTACGCACCACAAAGTAGTCCGCAAAAGTCATTCTTTTAAAATAACTGTTTATGCGTAAACATTGCACAATATTCCAGAAGTGTACTGCTGAGAATGATTTGCAACTAAAGGAATTAAAATGTCGAAGTTTATGTTTTGATTAATATATGTAAATTCATGTGATTTGGTGAAAACACGTACATCCGCTGGCAACACGGCTGCAGCGCTCGGTTTTTCTGCGTGATTTCGTTCCCGTAATGACCGAATCATGTGCTTCGCTGCTTTCCTCGCCGAGTCTCTTCAAAACGTCCTTTCGCAAAGGCACGTTTGGGCGACAGGTGTGAGAAGTCATGATGAATGTCTACTTTCAAATTTGGCGGGAGACTCCTGCCGCGTCATAACACGAATGCGATGAAAGCAAGAAAAACGTCCGGACCACTGCAATTCACATATACGCGGCGAAATCAGGGCACCCCTTTACCTGCCGATCACATTGGACGCCGAGAAGCTGGTGGAAAGGACTGCGCCTCGAGTCCTGGCATATCCAAACAATACAAGGAAACATTAACGGCCGGGTCGTCGGGCACTTTGCAGTGTGTACTTAAATTTCGAAACTACGCCGAAATGCCGAACAGGTGGAAAGCTCGAACACAGACGCCAGCGGCCAGCCTAGGTACTGACGTCCCCTGTGACTAAATTTCAGAACGTGAAAGGGCACTTTTTAGACCTGTAGCAGGCGATACCGTTGATGCACCCGTAGCAGACGAAATACTCGGCGAGCGTGGGCGGCAGCAACGCAGCGGAGTGATACAAAAGTGCAGGCGAGATCGCGTGACCTATTGCCGGCGTGTGATTGGCTCCGGCCACACGTAGCTTTGGCTGCGCTCGAACGGAAGTTAAAACGAAGTATAGGGTCCCGTGGATTTTTCGTGTGCGGCAACAGAAATGACGTCACGACTTCGTGACGTCATGTGACGTCACGACTTCATGTCACGTGACGTCAGTTTTCCCGCTAAATTTATGGGTGAAACTGCATTGGTGTTGAGGTCATGTGACGTCGATTTTCCCGCTAAATTTCGCGAGGAAATGACGTCACGAAGGCGTAATGCCATCTCTGTTGCCGCACACGAAAAATCCACGGGACCTTAGCCCCATAAACGGCTTCGCTGTAAAAAGAAAAAAAAAAAAAAAACAATATGGCGGCTCCGTACGGCATGATGATGAATGATAGCTGACAATAATTTTGAATATAGCCCATTAGGTGTGGAAAATGCAACTTCCTTAGGGACCATGATCGAGTGAACCGTCATGCCCATTTCTTCATGCGCACATCGCATTTGTTTAGTCTAGTCGTATTCTGAGCTTTGTTGTTCGCTGGAATGCTTCCATTGTTCTCCTCGATTGACTGCCTCCATGCTCGGCAGAGAAGTAAACTTCCAGGCCCCCCTTTTCTTTTAGATAACTTACTTCCACATCGCCCGAGAGGAATAGGTCAGGGCCTCCGGATCATAGCATATATATATACACGCGCCACAAGTCGCGCGTGACTGCAAAGATAAGCCGAAATGTATACAGAAGATAAGATAAAGTTGTTGAAGTGCACGGACACAGTTGACCCCCAGACAGTAGCTTTCAAAAGAGGGGGAGGGGGGGATTTCTCGGACGATCGACCCTTGTTCCATGAGCTGGGAATACCTGGAAACGAGTTCTTCTTCTTAGTATTTTAGCTTATCGTCCTCCGACTGCCCGCAATCCTGTGCTCTCTGGCAATGAGCAGTTCCGGTGAAATTGCGTAATAATCGCTTTGCTCTTGACACTAATATGTATTATCACGAGCGCCAAATAATAAATAATAATAATAATTATTATCGATATTTCTAAAATTGAATGAAGTGGTGGTTTTGGATGACGCCTAGCAGGTTTCTGACGGGAACCGCATATTTGTGTTGTTGGTAATTTGACTTATCGCGAGGATTGTCCTCAGTCGTGACGTTTCTTTTTGGACTTTTTGAAAATAGCAAGACCGCGCGTGCATAGCTGTGACAGGCGCTCAATATTTGCGAGAGCGGAGATTCCGAAAACTCCTGTACGACGTCACGACCAGGGAAGGACGGGCTTCAGCGGTACTTTGAAAATTAATTTATGCAACTTCCGTGCACCAAATTTAAAAATAATCTCGATATTCGTGACCCTAAAGACCAAATGAAAAAAAAAAAAAAGTTAGATGTTTTTTCTTAAATACAGAACCGCTTCAGTTTCCGTTCAAGGTCGTGCACGTCCTAATTGATTCACCATACGTCTTGACTCAAGTGAGTCTTAGGCTCTACGCGTAGTTACACGTCTTCTTCAGTCATATTTTTTTTATATTTCTCGAGCTTTTGATCAACTAGCCCCAATCCTCAGGTTGGCTGAGTGTTATAATCGTCACTTGGAAGCACTTGATCTATTTAACTTGTGCTGTAGTGTTTTCAATCAACTTACTGTAAACCTGCTCGTGCTTGAGCAGGACTGGGAAGTGCTGAATGTCCGACTGCGTCAAATTTATGGGTTTAACAATATCTGTGCGTTGCAGATGTCTCGCTGCTTCGCATTTACTTTGCACGCTTCAACTTTCCATCGAAAACATGATTCTCACCAGCAGAATTCCTAACTTTGTTATCCCTCTGCATTCGTTTGGTCTTGTGTACAATTGTGTTTTTCTGTTTTTTTATTGGTTTGTAGTTTGAAGTGTGCCAACACCAAGACCGCGACGTTGTTCCTGGACACTGTAATGAACACTGATTAATATTATTATTATTATTATTTTCACGGTATGTCGGCCAACGTGTCTAGTTGTAGTATTTTTCAGCATGCATATGCCACCACACTTGTATCCCGTCATTTTAATTATTGTCATGCTTTACAGCTACTGCGAGGTGCCTCGATACGAATTATGGACTGGTTTGAAGAGCGCAACCGTCGCATCGAAAACAAAACTAACCTGTTTTAGAAATCGCCTAATGTCATCCTTGATTCTCCTGTGAATTTGCAC